GGCCAGACAGCTTTAATGTGATATCCTGCTATTGAACCATCCCCTCACCTCAGCACCCGTCGACCCTCTCGTGTGCACTTATTAGATCGACGTGACTCGACCGAAAAAGCACAAGGTCATTTAAAAATACTAGAATTCATCATTAAAAGCTGTATATCTAAACAGGTGATAGCGGACATCCTTAAACCCAAGTCATCACCTGGCACTGAAATAAATGTTTGTTTGGGACACACAAAGGCTAAAACCAGGGTGTCCATATGGTGACATGTAAGTCTGTTCAATGTTCCTTGAGTCAGTAAGACTCAAGCCTTAAAACTGCCTGAGGTCAGATAAATCCAACAGCTGTGTTCATGAAGAGGGGTTATATATAATATGTGCTCTCCTGTGACCCGGGCTAATATCTTCCTGATTCCTGATAACCACACTCAGACCTGACCCTGCCGCTCATTACGAGCTCCACTGCTGGACCCTGTGTAGAAGACAAGACGGAGGGGAGCAAATAAAACAAAACAAGAGATTACTTTTTTTGATGAAATTATGGATAAGCCACAGATCTAAATGAAATTTTTGCTAGTAATCCCTGATAATCTGCTTTAATCTGTTTGTGTTAGGTGTGTTTTAGTGTGAAGTGCATTCTGACCATATCTGCTTTCTCTCTCTCATGCAATGTCTCCCTGTCAGCCAACAGCACCTTAAATACAACAGAGTGAACATGAGTTAAACTGGTGATTTTAGCACAAGCCTGAATCTACACTGCTATCTGAATAATGCTGACAAGAAATACACGAAGAAACAACTTTGGGAAAAAGGAAATGCAAAAAATGTAACGGATGCGCCGAATTAGATCACTGTGGCTACTAAAGGCACACATTTTCAATGACAATAATCTACAATCTGTACATTTCTGCAGATTATTATGTGTAATACTTGCAGTGCCCAAAGAATAAGGACAGCCGGCTTTAAGTGAAATGTATGCGCCCATGGTTTAAAAAAAAATACATATTTCATGAAAACATCACCATTATTGCCTCCAATGTAAAGACAGTTTCTTCTTAATTAAGAACATGACTCTTAACATATTGAACATACACTAGTGTGACCAACATAAGTTTGCAAAAGTTTACAGTATGAACATGTTGGATGCATGCCAATCCTTTAATTTAACTTAAATTACTATCATGAAGAACACTAGTATAACCTTTTGTTAATCTTACAAGAAAACTGGAAATTGTTCAAGAGAAAAACAGAAATCTGTGATAAACATAATTGTTTCTCAGAGGAGTCGACGGGTTTGCCTGTCTTGACAAATATTAAGAGGCTGATTAGAAACTGGGCACACATTTGCCTAATTGAACCTGTAGTCACCAGCAAAATATGTAAACACTCAACTTAAATAAGAAAAGCTATACACATAAGTTATTGTTAAGGCTGTAAGGACTATTTCCTCTATTAATCATTTAGTCTATAGCTGTCAGAAAATAGTGAAAAATGCCCATTGTCTAGAGCTCTTCATATAACATTTTATCTTAACATCAGTCCTAAACCCAAAGCTCTTTAGTTTACTATCATACATCAGACAAAAGCATCAGAATCTCTCATTTGAAAAGCTGAAAGCAGCAAATGGTATTTTCATTGTAAAAAATGACTGAAACAATTAATCTGCTATCAGAATAGTTGCTGATTAACTTTCTCTTTTGATTGACGCATCATTTCAGCTCTATTTATTTTAAATAATCAGACAAGTACCTACCAAAGAGCCTTCTCTTGTCCCTTGAAGTACTTCTGGTCAAATAAGAGGTAACTACCACAGTAAAACAACTTTTAGCTGTCACTTCTTTTAGTCCTCTAAACCTACAATCCTCCGTTATCTCTGCCTTCTTCAAGTACCCACAATCAAAAAGCTCAAGAGCTTGATTTGAGTCGCTCCATCTTGATTCTACGTGTCACTAACCTCCTCATATTTTCCCTCTGTATACATCCCAAGTATTCCTCCCCCTGGATGAGCATCAGTGACCCTTACCTCTCAAGCTGCACTCCCCACCTTTAATCCTCCCGGCCAATAGTCGGACAGAGATGCAAAACTGGTGGAGCGACAGAGTGTCTGTCTCCACGCCACTCTCTTTTCTGTCTTTCTTGGGAATTTATGTCACAAACCCATCCTGAATCATGTAATCCCTCTAAGTCCATCTGTTACTGTAGTGCCCCCTCTCTTCCTATGCCTGTCCCTTTTCAGAGGTGGTTCCTTCTCAACCTCCCTAAACCTTTACCACCAGTTTAAGCTCCTCGCCAATTTGACTTTTCTTAGGTATTCAATTATTATATTAAGGGTATAAAACTATAAACCAACTTATCCCCTAATCAGCACAAGGGCTGTGCAAAGCTAAATCCCCTGCCCACTAAGTTTTCTATTTTTGGTGCCAAAAGTGACACATTAAAAACAGTGGAAAGAGCTTCACATAGTCAGTATAATTTATTTACAATATGTATGTACAGAAAAAGTGAAAGAAAACAAATGGCAAAAAAGGAAAAAAAGGAAGGGGAATTTAAGAGAAGGGGGAGGTCCACAGTGGAGTTGAAGAAAGCAGTTTAACCCCAGGCTTGAGATTTACAGTAATGCAGAACCAGCTTTCCATCGCTGCCAAAACACTGAAAAGAGACAGAAACAAATACACAAAAGGTAAATGTTAAATAAAACAGTAAGACAGAAGAGTGATGTGACAGTACAGTTACAGACTGATTGTGTTGATATTGAGCTGTCGAGCAGTGAGAGCGGTGGGATGAGCAAACATCCACTGTGAATTCTGGACTTTGAAGTCTTTGCTGTTACTTATCAAGACATTAATCACTGGCCAAGGGTTTTGGCATGTGACACATGGAGCTCCCCTCTTACTGCCCCCTCTGCTGGTCACAGCTCCACATGGCCCATTAACTTCTATGGCCACTTACATGGGCTACTATTTTAATATTTAATTAAAGGCGAAGAGACTATACCAATATGGTAAAGAGTAAGACACTGGTTATCTGTTCTAAATGTGACTTCGGCTGAAGCCTGACTGGGCTGAAGTTTATCTGTTAGAGGATGTATTATATACAATATGACACATTTATATTAAGTGTTACAATATATTAAAGTCTTGAAAAAGACTGAAAAAGGTGAACAGACAGTTAATATACTTGTTAGTATACAAGTAAATTAGTATACAAGTACAGGTCCTCATTAGGCTTGGAACATTTGCTTCACTTACTGAATAAATAAAGCAAAACAAGACTTAAAGTTATGTTGTTGGCAAGTTGTCTAGCAAACATGAATAAACTAATCTTCTCTGTGTAAAAGTGTTTTATTAGGAGACAAGTTAAGATTGTGTGCAAGGTCCACAACTATCAATCATCTGCTTGTTGATGATACAGTTGAAAATGCTAGTTAGTGGACATCGAGATTATTTTGTTACACATACTATTCCCAAAGTCAAGAATGAACTGGTTTCATCTGCTTTAGGTTAAGAAAATTGAGGTATAGGTATACGACACACTACAGTCACAGGTAATTAATGTGTTTATATATACTCACATCAAAGAGGATTCCTACATCTTGATCCGGGGAAGGAGCAAAAGCTTGGTTAACATAAATGAACTGAAAAAAAACAACAACAGACAGAGTTATACATAAAGAACTGAAAAACCTCTAGCATGATTTCTGAGTTTCTGTCCAAGTCTTTATTTTGGTAGACAAACTTCATTCTTACCAGTTGTTCATTGGCATCAAGCTTGAGGAAGCGAGAGATGAACTGAGACAGGGACTGTACTGTCCTTCCTCTGTCCACCGCCCACTTCTTTGTTTTCATTATCGGAGTGTCTCCCACAGCCTTCAGCAACACATCAACTATAAAAATTGAGGAAATAAAAAGTGAAACTGCTGCTGCTGTCACCCAGACTGGTCCAGGCAAATCTAAACAATGTACAGTTCAGAGGAACTTCTGGAGAAGTGTTTGTTAAATCCATTACCACATAACCACAATGCATGATGGCTTGCTTCCACTAAATAATTCAGAGAATATTCATAATATATATATATATGTGTGTGTGTGTGTGTGTACCCCCATATACAAAGTGACTGTACATACAGAGTTTATCTTATTCTCATGTACTAGACCATGAACTAGAGTCAGTGTGCTGGTGGCATTTATTTACTGTAATATGATCATTTTTTATTCAAATCTAGGAAATACCAAGGAATATTAACAGATCAAAAGTAGAAGTTTGGCCAGACAACTGCATAAAGACAATGATCCTGGTTTGAATCAATGGGTTTTAACTTATGGTTGTTAATAACAAGCAAAGCTTTGACATGTATGAAACGAACTCATTTGGAAAAACATCCTTAAATTCAATCTCACATAGATAACAACAATGTTAAACGTAAGTATGTCTTGCAAATCCATAACAAACCTATTATATATTTCTAACCCCAAACGCGAAGCACGATATTTAATGTTACAATAAACTGAGTGTGTGACAGCTTTAAACTAATCTTGTTAGCATAGCCTTAATAAGTTAATGAATGATGTAAACAAACATCTTCTCTGAACAAAAAGTATCCTAGAAGAGAATGATTTTACTTAATAAATATTAGCATTAGCTTTAGCCTCTCCACAAACCGGAAGTACCACGTGATAAAAAGCTACATGTTTATTGGCTAAAACAGAAAAAATACAGCCTTCCTATTGGCCAGAATCTCTGTCAGTTGTCTTTACGTCATACCCCCGGAAGTGTTTCCCATCGCACTAACAACAATACTCGTAAACACATATTATTCGCCGTTATTGAGTTGAATTTTTCGATATATCACGCTTTCTCACTCTTTTTCTTCTCTTCATTTGTCGTCGAGTCGTCCGACGGTGGCTGTGACTCCTCTTTCTGCGTGTCTGTGGGGGACTCTGCGCTGTCACACATCTTCAGGTGACCACTGTGGGCTGACTGTGGGGTCCCGCCCCCCTCCTCAGCCAGCAACACGATTCGCGGCAGACGTCGGCTCCCATTGGCTCAACGAAACGTCAATCACCCAGACGCGTAATCCTATTGGTCAATGCGCTTCTGGAAAAAAGGCTGTTGAACTTGTGTGTCTTCTGAGCTACATGCTAGGTTAGTTACTATTGTTTTGACTTTGAAATATATATTTGTTGATAACGTAGCTGTTTCACAATTAATTCAGGTGATGGTTGTGTGTTTATTAATCCTGTGATATGCTGTTTTGGGGGAAATATTGAATGCATTCTTCCTCTTTCACATGCAAGTAAAACAGGTAAATATCCTCTTGGTTTACAATAACACAGGACACACTTTAACCTGACAGCTGAACTTTCTACAGTCCTGTTGGACCTGTCACCCTCTCCTCACAATCGGACCAGACAGTAAGTTCACTTTATTATGGTCGCTCTTATTCGTGTTAAGCTATTATACTACTTGGTCTCATCTTTTTACAAGACAATGCAACACACCATTGAGGAAATATTTCGTACAAGGAAGAGAACATATTTCCTTCTTAAGTAAACACAAATCGCACCAACTGGAAAAACATATGTGTCAGTGTGAAAGCTGTTTGCTAAATAATGCTGCAACAAACTGTGTATATGACATTCAGTATTATTGTTCAAAGCTTCAGTGTTTTAATGTCCACTGACCTTTCATCCTCAACACTGCACTTGTATCTAAATATGTCATATCAGTGAGTGTATCTGAGCACTATTTGTTGTTTTTGTGACCTCGCTCTGGCAGTGGCAGGCATTGGCAGGCTCTCCACTAAGGATGCAGTGCTCTTCTTGTGTGACATGCAAGAGAAGTTCAGACCCAACATCTTCCAGTTCACCAACATCGTCAGCAACGCGTCCAGATTGCTCCAGGTCGAACTATCTCAGCCACAGCCTCGAACATTAATACGTAAGCATTAATTATTTGAAGAGATCTAATCAAACCTGCCTGCTCTCTCCTCCTTCGCGCAGGCCAGTCGTGTTCTGGGCATCCCCGCGATTTTGACCGAGCAGTACCCTAAAGGCTTGGGACCCACGGTACCAGAGCTGGGAGCAGCAGACCTGACAGCTCATGCTAAAACCTCATTCACCATGATGATAGAGGAGGTGGAGAAGGAGCTGCAGGCCCTGGGGAACCCCAAACAGGCTATACTGTGTGGAATAGAGGCACACGCCTGTATTGCAGTAAGACCACATCACTGTTTCTGCAGCTTGGCTGTTAAAAAGGCCCCATAAAGACAACTGGAAGCCCCTTGCTTACATGTAATGAATACATTCATATTTATTTTAGGTTTTGCCCATAATTATAATTGTAGTTATAGTTAAACAGGAAACACAATTATTTGCAGGTTTGATTCCCAGTTTGGGTTTCCTGCTGTTCTAAAAGAAGGATGTCTTATATAGATAGATAGATAACTTTATTAATCCCACAATGGGGAAATTCACTTGTCACAGCAGCATTTGAGTGAAATAGATAGATAGAAATTAATAATAATAATAAATACAGATAAAAACAGGAACAGTTGCGTACAGCAGGTCCAAGTTCTTATGCATTCTTGCATGAATTCTTAATAAATAAATAAAATATTTATATCTTTAATCAATGATGCCTTTCATCAGTGGCCCTCAAAATGTAAAGAATTACAGAAACGGACTCTAACAAAATTTCATAATAATTTATAATGCATCAGAATATGTTTGTATTATATTTACGTTGAGTATTGGGGAGATGATGATGTGACAGACAATTATTAAGCTATTATGCTATTATTAAGTAATGTAATTGTTGTGCCACAGAACTTACACAGTAGTTTAATGAATAAGGACCTTTGGTTCTTGTCTTTTCCTCAGTGCACAACATATGACCTGCTTGAAAAAGGAATTGAGGTTCACATTGTTGCTGATGCGGTCTCATCCAGAAGGTGTCTTTGTTTTTTTCTCCTATAGAACATTGTTATCACCTGCATTAAATAAACATTTGCTCCTGTGTTTGTGTGGAAACCATATACGTATGTGTGTGTTTTACCTCTTTTGTGTCTCCCTCCACAGCCAGACAGACCGTTTGTTTGCTCTGTCCCGGCTGAAGCAGAGTGGAGCTTACCTCACCACCACAGAGGCTGTTCTGCTGCAGCTGGTTCAAGATGCTAAACACCCCAACTTCAAGGAGGTGCTTACTAGAGCTGCTTTCTGTCATTTTACCTGTTACCAATGTCTCCTACTCTCTGAGTTACTTGTTTGTTTAGAAGTGTCGTAAATGTACAGTAAGCCTAGTGGTGTACTCCAAAAGTGTCCTCAGACTGCTGTCAAAAACAGTGCAGGAATAAATCGCTGCAGGAAAAAATACACTTGCTACAACCTTTATCATGACATTGACGAGTGCAGTGAGACTTATTATTCTGCAGTGATAAAACCCAAATGTTTTCCTGAAGTCGTAAAGCTGCCATGTTGGCCCTTGTAAATGTGCCAAATATTGATTCTGAGTATGCTGCCAGCCAAAGTAATGAAAGTGACAAACACATATTCTTTCAACTTTATTGACAGATCCAGAGGCTTTTGGCCCACCCATCCCCCGACACCGGCCTCCTCTCCTTCTTCAGCGCTCTGTAGGGAGATCATCACCTGTCATTCTGTTACACAAATAATGTACAGAACTTCACTGTTTCCAACATCCTGATAAAGTGCTTCAATAAAAGTGACGCTGCTACTTTAAATTTGTTCTGCCGTCTGCTTTTGTGCTCATGTCTCTGAAACGGTTTTAGGTGAAACTCACAGGTTGTTTCTCTTTATTGATATCCTGGTGAGCCCACAGCTGCAGGGGCTTCTGCTTTAAGTTTCGAGAAGCTGAAGAGGTGGGGCCAGCTCACAGAGGCGGGCTCTAGGAGTGACATCACAAAGGGGGAGGAGTGAGTGACGTAATTCTGGTATATCCAGAAAGGGAGGGGAAGGAGAGAGAGAGAGAGGGAGAGAGAGAAAAAGGAAGCTCTCCGATAAGTTTTTGTGTATATTTCTCCAAAGTTACACAAACTTTCACAAAGCTAAAGGTATGTTTGGAGGCCTTGTGGGGATCGACATGCTGAGGAGAGAGATCTGAAGGGAAGGACGGACACCAGTTTGTCAGCAGTTATGCACAGCTGATGACAACATCAAATATTAACACTTTTTAAGGCCTTGGGCCTCGAGTGACTATACAGAGGTAAGCAAGCCACTCTTCTTCCTCAGAAAATAGAAAGAGTAGGTATGGTACAGTTGATATGTGTATATACTGTCACATCCATGCAATGTCTTTGCTTGTGAATGAATAGTTTCCAGAGTGTCTTGTGTCTGAACTTACTGGTTTGTGACTGACGGTGGTTAGAAGTACAGGAACAGGACAGTTGATAGTGTTACATTACAGGCAGGAGGGACTCTACTACAGCATTATCTCTGTGTTTGTGATTGTCTCTACAGTGTCCAAAGTAAAGAAAAAGTAAAAGGACGTGTGGATTCAGCCACTTCCTCTTCTGATCCCTCAGATCCCGCACGGAGAGAAAGAGAGACAATGTCCTCTGACCTGGACTCCAGTCTCACCAGCATTGACTGGCTGCCTCAGCTGGGAATCAGCAGCCTGCGCTCGGGGAGAGAAAGAAGAGGAGCAGGAGGAGGGGAGAGGGACAAGAAGAAAGACAGAGGGAGGGAGAGGGGAGACTTCCTGCCCTCTGTGCCGGACCCCTCTCCTTCCAACTGCAAAGGGAAACCCCCTCACAGTTATGCCACTCTAATTGCCATGGCAATAGCAGCTGCACCTGAGAGGAAGTTGAGTTTGAATGACATCTACACCTGGATCAGCGACACTTTCCCCTACTACAGCCGAGCCGGACGTGGATGGAAAGTAAGAAAGAAGCTTTATTGTAAAAAAACATGAGTATACGAGAACAGTTTTAACGTTTAAGTAGTTGGTTTGGTGATTTGCATTCAGTTTGAATATTTTTTGCAACACCAACTGGTACAAGAATGACTTATTTCCTTATGTAACTTTGTGTCTTTAACAGAACTCCATTCGGCATAATTTGTCACTAAATAAATGCTTCAGGAAAGTTCCTCGACCACAGAATGACCCCGGCAAGGTGAATTACATTTTATGTTCTAATTTTGTAAGAGTATATGTGTTTTTGCATCGTGTTAGATGGCGAAATTATTGCTTAAAAGAGTGTAAAGTTAACAACGTGTACTGTAATTTGTCCAGGGTTCCTATTGGACGATGGATGGACCTGCAGAGGGGAATCAAGTGAGGGCACCTAAACGTCCCTATCCAGAGGAGGAAGAGGAGGATGTATGTTGTTTAATCTTACTCATAAAGTACAAGCTTGAGATTCTGGTATTTTATTCCCATATTTTTGCTGTAATTAGTAAGTAATTAATAAGTTTCTTGACAAATTAAGATTTTGAATGAAAAACATTCAATAATGAATGAATTAAAGCTCTAAACTAACACTCTGAAGGGACAGGTTAACCAAAAACCTTTCCTACTTTACTTCTAGTGGTATTTAGCCACACAGATACTGGTCTTGGTTTTATTTGTCCAATGAAATGAAATTGAAAATGAAAAATGAAAAAGTGCATTTAAAATTCAGCACCAACATGTCCTGGTTACTCTTTATAACCTGCATGCCTTTGTGTCATCAGTTATAATAGCGGCTACTTTCTATGGAAGAAATTGTTTCCATTAGTCACCATTCACTTGTAGTTTATAGACGTGGATGCAGAAATCAAAACTTGTACATTGTAGTATGTATTTTTCATATTGTATTTTGGGTGAACCGAACCTTAAAAGGACCAGTGTGTAGGATTTAGTTGCATTGCCAAAGACGTAAACGCCCCTATTTAGAGCCAGTGTTTGGTTTGTCCCTTCTGGGCGACTGTAAAAACATGGCGGTTTAACATGGCGGACTCGATGGAAGGCGACCCAAAGTGTCTGTAGATATAAAAGGCTCATTATAAGATGACAAAAACATAATGATTATACACTAATGAAAACATAGGGATGAATATTATATTACATTTCTGCCAGTAGATCATCCTAAATGTTACACACTGGACCTTTAACTTGAATAAACTTGGGTAATGCTACTTTTAGTTTACTACAGGATTTCAATACCTTTACCAATTCTATCGCTCTGCTGTTACAGGGGACACAAGCAGCGAGAGAACCCTCTCCTCATCAACCACAACCAACCTCCCACACAGACCAGCGGCTTCTAAACGCAGAGCCACTGGGAGGCATCCAGTCACCCCAGTCTGCCTCCCTCTCTCCTCCTCCATGCAAGGTAGAGTCACTTTCTCTCGTCTTTTTTCATCAAAGCCGGGTTTTCTGGGTGCTTATAATATATAATGTCTTTTATCTTCACAGCAACAGTCACCCTACATGCCAAGCCCCGTGTCCAGTCTCCCTGTCCCTCATCCGTCTGTCTCTCCTTCAGCCGGACTCCAACCTACTGCCCCCATGTCCTCTATCAATTCTTTCCCCCATCCTCTTCCATCTGGCCCCACTTTCTCAATGCCCTCTGCTTCGGCTACACCTCTGTGCACTGCCAGTATGTCTACAGCCTCTCCTGCTGCTCCCTCTTTCTCTGATGCCTTTCCTGCTAACTCGGAGCCTGTGTGCGTCTCCACCTTCTCCTGCGCTCCAAACTCAGTGCCTGTGTCTGTATGCACTGTGTCAGGACCCACTCACTCTTCAGTATTTTCATCTGTCGCCGCCCCCCCAGTTGTCTTATTAAACTCCTCCACCGATCCTCCGCTCCGCTTCACCTTCGACGAGCTAAATTTACCCGACTTGTACGCGTCTTTCAAGTCTCTCGTCAAGACCATGCGGGAGAGAGGAGGCTCACAGTGTAAGTACCTTGTGTGTGGGTATGTCAACTCTATAAGGTGTGCATTATATACATAAACAGCTTGGATGAGTGACTTTGTTTTTGTTCTTTCTAGCGGATGTCATTCCCCTGGCTGTTCTGAGCAATGACACTACCCCCCTTCACACTCCAACTCTGCTGCCAATGTCTCCTCATCCTGCACCTGCACCACCTCCACCCGCCGCACACCCTCCTGAGACAGAGCGTGTTACACATCACAGTAAGTCTCACACGACCCTATCAAACCCCCAGAAATGCTTGGAATTGTATTTAAACCAGCAACATAACACACCTTGCCTTCCTCCCTTCCACTTTAGCTGTGCCACCTGACTGGTTCAGTAACCCAGATTCTCTGAAGGAGAGCTTCCGCATTGCCAGCAATCTAGACTGGGCAAACATAGACCTCTCTGGTCACCCAGGTCTGTGCTGTTTACCAGAGTCTCGTTTAAAGGGTCAGTTCACCCAAAATTATAAAAATAACATATTTTCTCACTTTCTTTCTCAACAGTTTACTCTGGTTAATCTACAAAACTTTATCAGACTTCACAGTTGATCAGTCAGTTAGTTGATTGGCAAAAAATTGCAAATATTTTGATTATCAAATAATTTCAACCACATTCCCAAACAAAAACACCAGACATTTCAAATCTAAAATATAAAGATTTGATGCTTTATTTTTGTTATATGTGAAGATTTCACCAACTTATTTTATAGCCAAAAAAAGACCATTTGAGAAATTAGGTTTCAGATAATAAAAATATTATTACTTGCAGCATGGTAAATACCACCAAGTACACTAGAAAATGTTTTTTTTTTGCATTTTTGGTGAACTGACCCTATTGTAACATGTACGAAGATTTTACTAGTTTAAGATTCCTTTATTAGTGGCAGATAATTAAACAATATGATAATTATTGAGACCTTTGCAAACGGTTAGACATGTTGAGTAAATGCATCATCTGCACCTCTCTTGTAACCTTTTTTGTTCCCCTCACTTTCTGTCCCCCAGACCTACTGGAGAGTATGCGCCAGGCGGAGCTCTGCGACTGGGCCCTGGACCCAGCGCTCTTTACTTCCCTCTGTGACTCTCTGAACCGCTTCTTCACTCAGAAAGGCATGATCACCTCTGGCAGTAACTCCCCACTAGCCCTCGGCGCACCTCACTCCTTACAGGTCCCACAATTCACCACCAATCCTCCTCCTACCCTCGCCAGCCTCACTCACCCCTCACCCCTCCCCTACTCTCCCATAGTTCCTCTTGCCAGCGGAGCGCAGCCGCCCCGGAGGTCTCTGCACATGCAGGGTCAGGGACTTCAAAGACCACAGTTAACACAACCTGCAAGCACAACAGGTAAGAGGTTTTCTTTTTAACTTTTTAGTACCAAATCCCCTCCTTTTCTTGCCTTCCTGCACCAGTTATATGCTAACTTAAACCATGTTTCTCTTTCGGGCTCAGCTGGGATGCAGCCTCAGCCTCAGTCTATGACACCACGACAGCGTCCTCCATTAAAGAGTCTGCACAGCAACAGTGAGGAGATCCAGGATGACTTTGATTGGGATTCTCTGCTCGCTTGACCCCCGCTGACGGGGCGGAGATACATTTAGAACAGAACTTTTCAGAGAAATGTGGCTCTTCAGTCATCTTCACTAAACTCTACGCAGAAGCCGTCCAGCTGTTGTGCATCTTGAAGCTTCTTCGAGAGCATGTTTGGGATCAAGTATGACTGAATGCTGTATTTCAAGGTTGAAAAAGTTGTATGTTTTTTCACCTTTATTCAAATTCATATGCTGTAGTAACTTTTGTTTAGCTTATGTTTTCCAGGTAATTGGCAGGGTGTTTTTTTTTTCTATTGGATTGTAGATTTATACGTGTAATGTAAATTTATTCATCACATTATTGTACTCTGCAGCAGTAAAAAAATAAATAAAAGGAATATACATAAAGCATTAACTACAGAGCAAGCATGAAACAAGCCAAACACAGATCCTGTGTTTTTGTTTTATTTCATAAATTCCTTTTGATTTTTTTTCCATTTTTCTTTTCAAATGTGAATGTTCACAGTCATCACCACACAAAATTCAACCTTACCCGATAAAAGAGATATTTTCTTGTTGATATAAAATAACAATAAATTCATCAAACTAAATTAAAAGAACAGCATGGAGCATGTCGCCAAGTCCCTGTTTTTTTTCCTTTCATTCATTGAAATAATTGTCTCTCTTTTTTTTTTTTTTTTTTTTAAAAGAAGCATCAGTGTCTCTCTCCCCGAAGGAAAGAGGGATGAAACACAAGGACAGTGGTGCTCTGGGACACCTGTACACCAGGGATCTCATATGAAATGTGTGACTGGAAAAAAACAACTAATGCTTCTGATCAATTAAAAAAAAAAAAAAAGTGAAATAAGATTGGCAGAGAAATGTGTGACCCTTATAACACCTCATTTGAAATCCCAACATTACATAGTATTAATACAAGTGACAATTTTTAAAAACAAAAATAATGGATCATTTCATTTCTTCCTTTCTGAGTCACTGAAATAAGATCGGACACAGGAAAAATGGAGACAGATATCTATACATATACACAGAAACAGGCATTTACACTATTGCATACTCACAAATGAGCATTCGTATTCTCATTCACACATCGCTGAAAACACACACATTCAACAAACATCCCAACATTTTTCCCCATCGGACCACAGATGTCAGAGCACTCTTTAGTTTTCTACAATAAATCAGGAAGAAAAAAAAATAAGCATTTGATTTAAATGGCATCAACGAGGGATTTTCCTTGTTTATTTGTTCCCAAAAATTGGAAAAAATAAATTACACTTAACATTAAATTAAATTAAAAGTGAAATAGTTGAAAGAATTTGACCACATTGTGCCTGAAATGTTAATGCAGGTTTTTCAGTCCGTATCTAAGTCTGGAGTTCATTAAAAATCATCCTTCATGCACTGGTTTCATTTCAGTGATTCAGTGTTTGTCTTCATTCTAGAGGAAGAAAAGAGGAAGAGGAAGGTGCAACAGTTTCTCTGTTCAGTTTGTTAGTGGCTATGTCCCCTCTCCCTCCATCTGTCTCTCTCAGTGCAGTAAAATTAGAATAGTGACACTACTGAAAAAGCCTCCTGCTCTCACAGACTTACCTTCATCTCAAGACAGGACTGAAAAAAAAAACATAAGATGAAGAACAATACAGAAACGGAACAGGATTAAAACAAAATAAATAGATCTCTATTTCCCGCCCACAAACAACCCATAATGAAATGAAAGGAACTAAATGTGGAAAAATTATTCTGAAATGAAAATAATGCTTTTGAATGAAAAGATAAACATAATTTTTGATTTTTTCTTTTTTTCTTTAAATATAGAGATGTACACATTTTTTTCTTTTTGGACACAAATTGTGTTGGGGGGGGGGGGGGAATGAACAGGGGCAGCAGGTACGACAGAGG